TGCAGCTTTCAGTTTACCAGCAAATGCTTGTGCTCTACTTTTAAATAGAAGGAACAAAATAAAAAAGAAAAAGTCAGTATTTTTAAAAGCTAGAAAATTGGCTAGGATGATTTTCTGTTCAGAGTTGGTTAAACCTAGTTTGAATCTCAAGTTTGCTATTTTCCAGTTGTATAATCATTAGCACAATGTTTATGCTTTTTTTCAGTCTCAGATTCTTTTCCTGTCAAATAAAGAAATGAAGTAGAAGTACAATCTACTGAAGGGCTTTTATGAATATTTATAGAGATTAAGCATGTGAAGGATTTACTATATTGCCTTGTAAATTCTTAATAATCATTGGTTGTTAATAATTAGGTGATGTTAACATTGTAGACAGTCAGCCGCATCATAACAGACGTGACCTATGATAAGTCATATGACATATCTTAATAAAGGTCTAGAGCTAAGAACCTGGAAAATCGCATTCGGCAGACTTCCCATGGAATTCTGTAGAAATGTAGATAGCAATCAGTTTCTCAGTCTTCCCGGGAAAATGCCAAATAGGTTAAATGTATAAAGATAACAATTACTATTTTGACATTGTCCTTGAGAGGCTAGATGAGAGTAAATGTCTGTTCTTGAAAACCTGTATTTCTATATTCTTTCAGTTATGTAAGTGGCCATTATTAGTTTACATCACTGTGCAGGGGTTTGGCTGGCATAACAAGATGCTGAAGTGTTTTCAATGCATGAGGCTAGTATTCCTGTGTGACTAAGTATATTGTTTACTAATGACATTAAGTGTAGGGTAGCTCATTTAAAAATTGGTGTATTGTATAAAATGAACCCGATTTAAAATAAGACCATGTATTTTATTTAATCCAAAAATTAATGTTCCTGAAGAAAATGCAAACCCATTTCAATGGTTACTATGTAATTGTAATAAAAATATCTGGCAAAAATGATCAGCAATTACTTATTGTTAAGCCTATTCTACTTGTACTGAATGGAGAGAGCTTTAAAAAAAATTTTAATTTAAGGAATATGTAATAGTAGGAGCCCAGAATCATAATGTTCACAGAGAGTAATGGTTTATTAACTACAATTCATATACCCTGAGACTAGGTGTGATTTCCTTTTGAGCTTTGACACAAAAAAGCAACAAGCTATGCTAGTTTGCTTGAAAAGAAACAGACTTCTGTTGTAACTTGCTGCTGTAAAACATTTTTTTCTCTAATTAGGCAAAAAAAGTAGGAATAATCTAGCAAGTGGTTTCAAAATGAAAAAAAAAAATCAATACTTAGAGCTGTTAGTGTTCAGCCTCACCTCAGACATCAAGTTTTCTGATTATATGTAATGCAAAAAGCATATTCATGGAAGTAAAACAAAGCAGAGGGGGAAATCAATTATTTCTTCACATACCATGAGAATACCTTTTTAAGCTTGCAAGCTTAACTAATAACACAATCAGAAAGAGCACTCTTCATAGTGGGTATAAAAATGGCCTAATTTGAAAGACAATGTCTCTGGCATGCATACCTAGTAGGCTCTATTCAGCAAACTCTTGAGGTTTCATGTTAACATAATGAAATATTGTACTATTCCTTGTAGGGTAAATTTTTCTTTACCTTTTAAAATCAATAGCCTAATAATATTTTGTTCAACTCTATCTGCATCTAAATTTGAAATTACTTTGCTGAAAATTGTAGATGTACAGCTCTGAAGCCACTAGTCTTTTCCTTTTCCTTCTCTTACCACCCTCATCCAAATCTTTTATAATTAGTTTTTAGAATATACACCATAAACGTTAATAAAACTCACTTAGGCATAGCTATTTTATTCAGGTGTCAGGAAAGTTGTCCACCTTTGTTATAGTGTTGACTAATTGGTTTAACTTCTTCAGCATCTTTAATAAGGCAATGTTGGAATCCAGTGTGATTATATTTGTGTTAGTCTGATAGTCTCTCTAAGGTGCGTGACTCAATTTAATTTAACAATAAACTGTTGTGTGTATAGGGGAAGGGCATTTGGGGCAGACTCTTGATGATTTTTCATAAAAGTCAATGCCATATGTATTTACAAACCTATAACTTAAATTTGTATATCTGAAGGGTTCATGCATTTTATATTCTCAGATCCTCACCTAATTATAATTGTATTTTTCAGATTACATTTAAGCTTTTAACATGAAAAATCTCAAACACAAACAAGTAGAAAGAAAAGTAAAAGATATCCCCACGTATTTATCACCCAATTTTTTTTCCTCTGCTCCATTTTCTCTTTATTTTATTTTATTTTATTTTTATTTTTATTTTTATTTTTTTAGAGGAAGAAAGAAAGAAAAAGAATAAAAAGAAAAAGAAAAGAATAAAGGAAAGGAAGAAAGAGGGAGAGGAAGAGGGAGAGAGAACAGGGTTGTTGCTTTATTGCCTGGGCTAAAATGCAGTCTAAAAATGGGTATGCCTGTAATTATGTTTAATAATAGAGACATAAAAAAAAATGAGGGAAGAAAATAATTAACAAGCAGCCAACCAATATTTCATTTAAACCTGTAAATACGTGTGATGTGGTACTGATAAGAGTATATATTTTATGTATTTAAATTGGAGAGTTCTATGAATGTTAATTAAGTCTACTTGTTCCGGATCTGAGTTCAAGTCCTGAATATCGATGTTAACTTTCTGTCTCATTGATCTGTAAGTCTCCCACTATTATTGTGTGGGAGTCCAAGTCTCTTTATAAGTCTTATATATCTGGGTATTTCTGTATTGGGTGCATATATATTTAGGATCTTTAGCTCTTCTTGTTACATTGATCCTTTTATCTTTATGTAATATCCTTCTTTGCTTCTTTTGATCTTTGTTGCTTTGAAGTCTATTTTATCAGCAAAAATTACAACTCCTGCTTTCTATTTATTTATTTTTGCTCTCCATTTGGTTGGCAAATTTTTTTCCATCCCTTTGTTTTGAGTCTTTGTGTATCCTTGCATGTAAGATGGATCTGGATGTAGCATACCAATGGGTCTTGACTTTTTTTGCCTGTCTGTGTCTTTGGATTGGGGGATTTAGTCGATTTAAATTTAGAATTAATAACAATATATATGAGTTTGATGCTGTCATTTAATGTTGGCTGGCTGTTTTGCCCATTAATTGATGCAATTTCTTAATTATGTTGATGTTCTTTATTTTTTGGCATTTTTTAGAAAGGCTGATACTGGTTGTTCCTTTCTATTTGTAGTGGTTCTTTCAGAAGCTCTTGTAAAGCAGGCCTGGTGATGATGAAATCTCTGAGTGCTTGCTTGTTCACAAAAGATTTTATTTTTCCTTCGCTTATGAAACTTAGTTTGGCTGGATGTAAAATTCTGGGTTGAAAGTTCTTTTCTTTAAGGATGTTGAATATTGGCCCCCACTCTCTTCTGTCTTGTAGGGTTTCTGCTGAGAGATCTGCTGTGAGTCTGATGGGCTTCCCTTTATGGGGAACCTGACCTTTCTCTCTGGCTGCCCTCAGTATTTTCTCTTTCATTTCAACCCTGGTGAATCTGGCGATTATGTGCCTTGAGGTTGGTCTTCTTGAGGAATATCTTTGTGGTGTTCTCTGTATTACCTGGAGTTGAATATTGTCCTGCCTTGCTAGGTTGGGAAAGTTTTCCTAAATAATATCCTGAAGCGTATTTTCCAGCTTGGATTGATTCTCTTCGTCACATTCAGGTACACCTATCAAACGTAGATTAGGTCTTTTCACATAGTCCCATATTTCTTGGAGACTTTGCTCGTTCTTTTTTATCCTTTTTTCTCTAATATTGTCTTTTTGTTTTATTTCATGAAGTTGGTCTTCGACCTCTAATATCTTTTCTTCTGCTTGATCAATTTGGCTGTTAAAACTTGTGCATAGTTCGCGAAGTTCTCGTGTTGTATTTTTCAGCTCCATTAATTCACTTATATTCCTCTCTAAATTGTGTGTTATTTTTAACATTTCGTCAAACCTTTTTTCAAAGTTCTTGGTTTCTTTGCATTGGGTTAGAACAAGTTCTTTTAATTCCCAGAAGTTTCTTATCATCCACTTTTTAAAGCCTGCTTCTGCTAATGGAACACAGTCTTTCTCCATCAGGCCTTCTTCTGTTGCTGATGAGGAACTGTGATCCCCTGTAGAGGGAGAGGCGTTCTGAGTTTGGGTATTCTCAGCCTTTTTAGGCTGTTTTCTTCCCTTCTTTATAGATTTATCCATCTGTGGTCTTTATAATTACCGTCTTTATAGTTGGGTTTCTGAATGGATGTCCAACTTGTTGATTCCCGGCGCTAGAATCTGAGCAACCCACTGTGCCGGCCAAAACAGCGGCTTTCAGATTGATAGCGCTTTTCTGACTCTGCACCAAGAACCGCTGCTCGAAGGCAGCGGCAAAACCGCCGCTTTATCACCCAATTTTAACAGTTACTGAGACTTTCCCGAGATTGCTTCAACATTTTACTTAATAGAAATATTTCATATAAACTTTTTTTTGAAAGAATAACAAATGCAGGAAAAGTCCCATATACCATAAGAACATACCAGCATAAGCATCTACACCAAGAAATAGAAAATCAGCAAAACCCCAGGATTTCTATTGCCCCTTTTGGGGCTGTTAAGATAACAACCTTAGACAAACTAAATTTAACAGACTTTCATTGAACAAAGAATGATTCGTGATAGGGCAGCCCTCCTGAACGTATTATAGTTTCAGAGAGATTCCAGTGCTATCATGTGTGGTCAAAGAAGATTTATGGCTAGACAAAGGTAAGAGACATATAGAAAGTAGAAGCAAGGTACAGAAACAGGCTGGTTACAGATCAGAGTTTGCCTTATTTGAATCCAGCTTGAAGAGTTGACTACCTTTAATTGGCTGAAACTCTGTGACTGGCACAAGAGTAGGTTACAGTCTATTTACACCTGCAGTTAGGTTACAGAAACCTTTAAATGAAAGGGACAGCTTTTTGTTAAACTTCATTTAACAGGGCTCAGAAAACAATACATAAAAACGTGGCTCTTTTACATGATGAACTAAAGAAGCAGTTTCAGTGTCTCTTTGACCTTACCCTGACCTTCTGTCTCTCAAGTCTCTCCCAAACCACAGAACAAAACTGTTCTCTGAAATTCCCTTATCTACCTAAAAATTGGACCCACCAAAGAGGAACACATTTGCTTTCAGTTCCTTCCCTGTAGTTTCATTAGCTGGAGAAGAATAAAACTCATATATCAAAGGAGAGACTAAACATTAAACAGCACACCCAGAGCCCACACAAACTTTGTCCCAAACTATCATCTATTTTGTGGTCCCATTCAATTTCCAAGGAGAATCACTTACTTAAAATTGTTTGAGCTTTGGGCTCATTCACTTCCCCTGAAAATCATTAACTACCCCTCTCATTTGCCTAAACTCTCCATTTCTATCTCCCCTATGAAGAGTGTATATAAACCTCAATCATCTGGTCCTTCTTGGAGTCTCAGCTTTGCAGGACTCCCTATCCATATTATGTTAATAAATTTGTATACCTTTTAAAAAAAATCTATTAGTAATTTTAATAAATCTTCATTGTGTGGAGAAGAAGCTTTCTCTCCATCCTTACACCCCCTCACTGTTTTACTCCATCCAGACACCTCCATCACTATTCTCAACTTGAAGAGCAGCCAGTATTATGACCTCTATTAAAAACAGATTAGTTTTACCTCCTTTGGAAATTTTATATAAATTAAATCATGTAGTATATATTTTTGTATCTGTCTTTGTTTTCTCAACATGTTTATGAGATTCACCTACCTGTAGTTTGTTCATTCTGTTGTTGTATAGTATTCAGTTGAATGTATAGACCGCTATTTATCCATTTTAAATCTGTTGAACATTTGGGTTATTTCCTGTCTTTGGTATTAGAAATCATGCTGCCATTAATATTCCTGTACATGTCTTTGGTGAAAATATGTGTGCATGTCTGTTCTATATTCATTTGCTAAAGTATGTTAAAGCAAGTTCCAGACATTGTTATTTTACTCTTACACATCAGCACCTTTTAGTATGCATCCAAGAAATGTGACATTTTCTCACATAACCATAACTGCTTGTTACCATCTGATGCTTTGTCCTTTATTAATTAAAATGTATGATTAAATAGGAAAAATCACCTTTCTTCAGGATAGCTTTTGAAGATAGCAAGCTGAAAATATTGAAGTTGAAATACCCTTAAGCTGATAGTAGGTTTCTCTAGCTTTGATAGACAGGTCAGTCAAATAATCAACAAGTATTTATTGAGCTTTTTTTTGGTGGATCAACTGAGTTATCTTTTTAGTGCTATTCATACTCATCAATACACTGACAGACCAACTGGAATTTAAGGGGAGAAAACCATTCCTTTTGATAAATTGTCAGTCATAGAATTGTTTATATTAGGTATTACAAAATAGTAATTCAACTCAAAGAATATGGACTGTGGAGCATATTTTAATAAAGAGTGATTTTAATGAAGAGTGACTTAAGTGACTTTTTTCCTGTAGTGGATATTATAGCTATATGATTCCTGGCAAATATTTAGAATAAATAATAAAGATGTCAATATTAATATTTATAAATTAATATAAGTATAAATTATGTTATAATTAGTTAACAATTAATATTAAAAACGTCTAAGGGCTTTTCTTAAACAGATCCTGCATTTGATTTTATTATTTTATGAACATAGCATCAATTGTAAGGAACTGATATTTTTCACTTGGGATCTATGATAAATCA